AACCCTAAACCCTAAACCCTGTTCCGGAAGTCAGGGCTGGGCTAGCTAGAGAGCTCATTGATGGCTCTGCCTTCATGGGGCACCTGTTTTCTTCCCGAGGCCTAAGCCCGAAACCGCCTAGTATAGGGTTCAGGGTTTAGGGTTTAGGGTTTAGGGTAATTAGAATAGGTTTTTGGGGGGTATTATAATCATAAAGGGACCGTAAGGGAATGCTATTAGTAATTATTCCGACCCCGAAATTAGACCCTAAACAACCCCTAAGCGCAACCCATGGCAAACTCGCCCTCGCACAAGGTATCATCCTTACAGCAATCCTGGTCCCCCAAACCCTAAACCCAAATCCCTTAACCCCACAACCCTAACACCCTGGCACGCTAACATCCTAAACCCTAAACCCTAAACTCTAAGCCCTGATACCCTAAAACCCCAAAACCCTAAACCCTAAACTCTAAGCCCTAATACCCTAAAACCCTAAACCCTAAACCCTAAACTCTAAGCCCTAATACCCCAACACTCTAAACCCTAAACCCCAATCTTTAAGCCCTAATACCCTAAAACCCTAAAACCCTAAAACCCTAAAACCCTAAACCCTAAGCCCTAATACCCTAAAACCCTAAACCGTCAACGAATGGGATCGGCTCCTGAGTCCTGCCTCCGGTTTCAGCTCTTGTCCACAGAAGCCGCCGCCCACACTCGACGATGGGCAGGGCGTTCCGGGATGACCCGAAACTTCCGGGTGAGGGTTTAGGGTTTAGGGTTTAGGGCTAGGGTTTAGGGTTCAGGGTTTAAGGTTAGGGATTAGGGTTGAGGGTTGAGGGTTGAGGGTTTATCGGGTTTAGGGTTTACCCTGGTAGGGATTAGCGGTTTACGGGTTTAGGGGTTGATAGGGTTTTCGGGTTCAGGGTGTAGGGCATAGGGTTTGCCTTAGTAGGGGGTTTAAGGGTTAGGGGGGTTCGAGTTTAGAGAGCTTGGGGTTTAAGGGTTTAGAGGGTTCGGGGCTGAGGTGCGACAATAATTCTCAGCTCCCTGCCCCTATACACACTCCGGAGACGACGTTGAGGGTGGTAGCGCTTTGGGCTTCGGGCCCTTCGACCCAGAAACTTTTCAACCCCATAAACCCTAGGCTGTCAAAGTACAACGAGCCCTGAACTTGTGAATGTTCCCCCTTACACTAACAGCTCCTTAGAAGGAATTCTAGTACCCCCTATTTATAATCCCTATGTTAAGGAGCTGTTGGTATAAGGGGGAACATCCCAATCCTAAACCCTGAACAAGCCCAAATGGGCCTCTTGGGCTGGATTGCCTGTCCCAGTGAGGTCGACACAACATCACGGGAGCCACAGGCTCGGAAACCCTAAACCCTAAACCCCAAACCCTAAACCCTAAACCCTCCTAGAGCCCAAGCTCCATGCGCATGCCCCCCTGGCCCAGCGGTGCAGCATCCTTCTGTCCCTTCTTGAAATCTTTTTTGCTACAAGTTACCAAAAGCATTCGAAATTGACTAGAGTTGTGCCTTGTTGCAGGGAACACCAGCCTTTCGTGTTTTGTTTGCTTTGTTGTTGGCACTTGGCATTTCGTGCACCCAAGCCCACGCCATAGACCAAAAGGGGTGTAGGGTTTAGGGTTTAAGGTTCAGGTTCTTGGGGGGGGGGGGGCAGGTATGTCGTTCTTCTTTCCTTTCGGGCTACATCATAAGATATGTTTGAGAGCAGGTCCCCATGCTAGGCGACACTAAATCGAAAAGCACCCCAAAGAGAGACCAAGTGCCTTAAGACAAGTGCCATTCCTCAAAAGAATCCCTTGAAAAGTAAGTCAGTACTCCAAACCCTAACCCGAAACCCCAACCCCCAAAAGCCCCAAAAGCCCCAAAAGCCCAAAAGCCCAAAAGCCCAAAAGCCCAAAAGCCCAAAAGCCCAAAAGCCCAAAAGCCCAAAAGCCCAAAAGCCCAAAAGCCCAAAAGCCCAAAAGCCCAAAAAGCCCAAAAGCCCAAAAGCCCAAAAGCCCAAAAGCCCAAAAGCCCAAAAGCCCAAAAGCCCAAAAGCCCAAAAGCCCCAAGCCCATTCTAATTGAACAGCCCCCTCCCCCGCCAACCTAAACCCTAAACCCTAAGCCCTAAACCCTAAACCCTAAACCCCAAACCCTAAACCCTAAACCTCCCCCCTTACATGCGAGTGGCATCTCCTGCCCCGGTTGTGTCGAAGGAGCCTGTCAACTGAACCCTAAAGTTTAGGGTTTAGGGTTTGGGTTTTGGGGTTTAGGGTTTTTCCTCTACAGGGTCGAGGGCTCAGGAAAGTTTGCGGCACCAGCCGCCCGAGTATCCCTGCTCAAGTTCGGGGTGCGGTGCTAAGTAGAACCCTTAGGGTTCAGGGTTTAGGGTTTAGGGTTTAGGGTTTAGGGTTTAGGGTTTAGGGTTTAGGGTTTAGGGCCTTCTGGTTAGGGTTTTCATCCCTTACAAATCTAGCGAAGCAACAAGGCCCCACACCCAAAAAACTCACTGATTCTAGGTTGCAGAGGACTTAGATTTTGTTTCTCCCCACCCCTAAACCCGAAACCCTAAACCCTAAACCCCAAACCCCAAACCCCAAACCCTAAGCCCTAAACCCTAAACCCTAAACCCTAAACCCTAAACCCCCCTCATCTCCCAGAAACACAGGCAAAATGCTTCATAAGCGGCCCATACCCTCCGGCAACCTTACATGCAGCCAACTAAAGCAGCCCAAGCCCGAACCCTAAACCCTAAACCCTAAACCCTAAACCCTAAACCCTAAACCCTAAACCCTAAACCCTAAACCCTAAACCCTAAACCCTAAACCCTAAACCCTAAACCCTAAACCCTACAACCTAAACCCTAAACCCTAAACCCTAAACCCTAAACCCTAAACCCTAAACCCTAAACCCTAAACCCTAAACCCTAAACCCTAAACCCTAAACCCTAAACCCTAAACCCTAGCCCTAAACCCCAAATTAAACCCTAACACGCCTAAAGACGCAAAATCTCTTGAAAGGCGCTCTTCTTGAGCCCCACAAGGGAGTTGGCAGAGCAGAGTCAAAAGGTGAGATCCTCAAGGGGCCTTCGAAGGGTTTAGGGTTTAGGGTTCAGGGTTTGGGGTTTAGGGTTTGGGGTTTGGGGTTTAGGGTTTAGGGTTGTAGGGTTGTAGGGTTCAGGGTTTGGGGGGTTTAGGGTTTAGAGGGCGGAGTTCGTCTTTGCCCTGCGCGTTAGAAAGGAAGCTTTGTGCGTTGTTTGGCACATCCGGGGCTGCTTTAGGAAGTAAAAGCCCCAAGCCCTCAACCCTAGCCCGAAACCCTAGACCCTAAACCCCAAACCCTGAACCCTGAACCCTGAACCCTAAACCCTAAACCCTAAACCCTAAACCCAAGTGACTGGAGGAGGTCAGGCTCCTTGGCTTGTGCACTTCGTGTGGACTCTGGAATTCGGTGTAGGGTTTAGGGTTTAGGGATGTTTAGGGTTCAGGGTTTAGGGTTTAGGGTTTAGGGTTTAGGGTTTAGGGTTTAGGGTTTAGGGTTTAGGGCTAGGGGTTTAGGGTTTAGGCCACGGGACCCCACAGACGGTAGGTACAACCTGGGGTTTAGGAGTCAGGGCCTCAGGGTTTAGGGTTCTGGGTTTAGGGTTTAGGGTTTAGGGTTTAGGGTTTTGGTCAGGTTTCAGGGTTCAGGGTTAAGGGTTAAGGGTTTAGGGTTTAGGGTTCAGGAGCCCAGTCACCTAAACCCCCCATTAAGACCCTCAGCACAGCAACTCCCTCGACGTCTTGGGGGAGAGGCAAGAAGAGCCTCCGTCAGCTTGCGTTTCTAGGGTTGATGGGTCTGTTTGGGTCTTGGGTCGATAAAGTAACCCTAAACCCTAAACCCTAAACCCTAAACCCTAAACCCTAAACCCTAACCCTAAACCCTAAACCCTAAACCTTGAGGGGTCCGACGTGTCTTCCGGCCAGGTGTGCCTTGCCTTGGGCGACTACCTGAACGTGCAGGCTGGGCCCAGCTATATCCCCCTTAAGATTATTTTAAATCTTGGTTTATATTTGAAAACAAGATTTGTTTATTTTTGTTTCCATAAAACCCAAGAGGATAGTAAGCATAGTATTTTTTTCCAGGGGGCTCACGGGGCCCTGGCGTGTTTTGGGCTGTGTTGGGGATTGGGGTCCAGCGCTTCTCTCCTTTCAGCTCATCATTCTTAAGTAGTGTTCTTGCTGTTTTGTTTGATTTTCTTCCTTTTGGTATTTGGTATTGGTAGAGACTAGCCTGTATAGACCCTCAATGAAAACAATGTGTTTCGGCAAACACAACTGCAATTCATCCAACCCTAAACCCTAAAGCCTAAACCCGAAACTAGAAAACCCTAAACCCGAAACCCTAAACCCTAAACCCTAGGCTCTAAGCCCTAAACCGGGACACAGACTCAGGCCAAGACGGGGTCCATCCTTTGCCACTTCTGGGTGGTCGTCCCCATGCGGTCCTGAAGCATAATATAGACGACCGTCATACTTGGTCACAGTTGGGTATCATGTTACAATGTTAAGGGTACTAAAACCCAATAAGGAGTGTAAATTACATTGCTAGTACGACCCCAACCCTAAACCCTAAACCCTAAACCCTAAACCCTAAACCCTAAACCCTAAACCCTAAACCCTAAACCCTAAACCCTATATCTGAGCTATGGCAAACACTACACCGGTACGGTCGGCTCATTGGCTGGCACGTCGGAGAGCGCCTTCTCTTTGGTGGCCACATGCGAGGGTTTAGGGTTTAGGGTTTAGGGTTTAGGGTTTAGGGTTTAGGGTTTAGGGTTTAGGGTTTAGGGTCAGATTCCAGCTGCCATGTAATGAAATGATAGCAGCGCAAAGAAGAGCCATGGATACACAACTAATTGACAGATGTGCTAGCTTGCACTGACACAGAGGCAAAGCGTACAGCACTGGATTTTGTGGAGCTTGATCTAACTTGTGAAGTTGAGGCTTTCCGTTGCCAAAACAGGGCAGAGCGCCATGGACTTGCTTCTTGCTTTGATCGTCTTTGCTCTCTGCTTCGGAGCCTGTTTGATACTGCTGCTGCTGATCGTCATGAATCCTTGTCGCTTCCGCTTGCGGGAGAGATCAGCGTCCGCAAGCTGGCCTGCAAAGGCTGAAGGGCTAGAGCAGAGCAATGACTACAATGCACTGCTTCAGATGCACCTCCGCCGCGAGCTGTCGAAGGGAACGGCGGCAACGCGACTTGTGGAATCGATCGCCGAGGCCGTCGCCGAGATCCGCACTGGGCAACGTGTGCCAGTTCCGGAAGATGTGGAGGAGGTCATGGTAGCCCAGTAGTACCTTTTCCCCTGTTTTTTTTTGAGTTCTGGGTTCTCTTAGAAAATACCCAACCCAAAAAAGGGTGCCCTTATCATAAGATGGTTACTGGTCTACCAAGAGGCCATACCCGAGTTACCTGGAATCGTCAGCACGGACTTTTCGACTCTCCGGGCCCGCGGCTGCGTTGGCATCCTGGATCTGACCGACATGAGGATTGACCTCGTGGAGCACCCGGATGGCCCGGAGAAAACGCGGCTGTGCACCTGGAAGACCGTGTCGAAAGCAAGACTCGTCAAGGAAAGCAAAGTCCAAACTGTGGCAGAGGAGCGCCTTGTGCTTGCAGCCACGTGGGCTTTCCCGTCCCCTTTCATCATCGCCTACCACGGTTGTTGTCAGACGCCGAGATATCTCCGTTTCCGGATGGAAGGCATTGGTGCGAGCCTGCACTATGTGTATCAGGGCTCTATGGCAGCGAAGCGCATGCAAGGTACTACATGGCCAGCGTTGTGTGTGCCTTGCAGCATTTGCACAGCCTGCAGGTCGTCTTCCGGAGCTTGAATCCGGAGTCTTGCCTCCTCGATTGCCAAGGCCAGCTCAAGCTGTTTGACTTCAGCTGCGCCAAGATCATCGTGAATAAGACCTGGACCATGTGTGGGACACCGGAATACTTCGCACCCGAGGTCGCCGCAAACGTGGGCCACACATTCGATTACGACTGGTGGATAGTGGGCATCATGACATACGAGCTTTGTGCAGAAGTCTCGCCCTTTGCGGAGGCCAATATGATGGACACCTTAACTAGGATCCAGGAGTGCCAGTTCACAATCCCAAAATCTGTACCCTCGTCAGCAAGGAATGTTATCCGAAAGCTTTTGGTGAAGGATCCTTCGAAACGAGCACCGGGTGGAGCGAAGTCGCTTGCAAAGCACAGCTTCTTCCGGCCCGTGTCTGAGCCCAAAGGGTCGTGGAACTGCTATCAGATGGCACCTCCCTTTACGCCATCCTTTGCAGACGGGCCTTTCTCCAACATCAAGAAAGCAGGCGACGAAGAGATTGCGGAGTCTTGGGGTGCGCAGACAGCGACAGAAGAGGACCCGGCCCCCATGCGGGTTGAGTGGGAGCAGTTCGGGCCTGTGGGGCCCTGTGATGAGTTTCCCTAAGCCCAAATCGCGAAGCGTTGGGTTGAGAGCTGTGCATTTTCACTCTTTTTGATGTTGAGATTTCTTGTCTCGGACGGGCTGCAGCTCCGCTTGCGGTCACTTGGCTCACACAGGTGGGCTTTCGATTGGCGACTTTGGCATTTTCAGAAGATCAGTCCCAGCTAATGCCTTATCTCATCGATCCTAGCTTTTTGATTTTGACAAGCGATGCAGCGCCATGATGTTGACCCCGGCCGGTTTAGGCTTGGTGCCTTTCCGTACGTTCGCAGCACCGTTTCACCCAACTTTAGGATGCCAGGCACAAACGCTACAGCAAGCAAAGGTCCGAGGATTTGCGTCGGCTTGATAGATGGCTTACTTCAGCCTTGCAATAACTCGGCTGGAGCATGAGGATTGCCTGTCCTCGTCGTGAACCCTTCAGCCCGAAACCCTGCTGGTATGTACTCTGGTGGTGGTTTAGTTGAATCAGCACATTGCTGGTTCGTGAAGTCATATTATACGGTCACAATGACTTTGAGCTTCTTTTGCATGTACTTATGTTTTTGCGTGGCCTAAGCCTCGGCGAGCAGTTGGTTTACCAGGCACGCCTGCTTGCGTGTTTTCGTGCATGCCAGGCTGGATAGTTTGGGTCGTATCCTTTTCCCCTGAATTCTTCACTATGAGCCTCCTGGACCTTATGAGGGCAGACGACTGTGCTCTCCCAGAGATTCCAAAACCCCTTAATTAAGGAACATCCCTTAAATTGTAAAAGGAACCCGAATATGATTCCAGGTCTATTCCTTAATTCAGGGGTTTGGGAGTCTCGGCTCTGTTCCAATCGGTACATAGCGCCTTATTTCGGGGGCCCGCAACAGGCGGCTGATATCCAGGCAAGCACAGGATAGGCGATAATCTTCATCAGGGGTGTTAAACCCTAAACCCTAAACCCTAAACCCTAAACCCTAAACCCTAAACCCTAAACCCTAAACCCTAAACCCCCTACAAGGTGAGGGTCGAGTTCAAGACCTCCAGGTGCATGTCTGCATTGGCGGCAAGCGCGTCTCCGATGACATCCACACCTTCGAAGCCGGCGTGCAGATTGTGTGCGCAGCCTGGGAGTGGGTTTGGGGTTTGGGGTTTAGGGTTTTAGGGTTTAGGGTTTGGGGTTTAGGGTCCAGGGTTTCGGGTTGAAGGTTGTTTTTTTTTTTTTTTTTTTGGGGGGGGGGGGGGGGGGGGCAAGGGAGGGCGGCGGCGGTTGCCTTGCATTCCATGCATTTCTGGTAGAATCGAATTCAAGAACGGAGGTAGACGCACCCAAAAGTCATGTTATCCAGGGCATAGACACGTCTCAACACGTTGGCGGTTAAATAGATTTGTGTCACTTCACTTTTGTGGTTCCATGCTTCTCCTAACCGGCCATTGTGTTTTGGCATCCTTCCTCCGACTTCCTTACCGCGGAGAACCAACGCACTGTTACTTCCGCAGCCCTTGCTTTGTTTTGCAGCACTGTAGTACCCCCAACGGCAGAAATCATGTGTACCCTATCTACGTGCATTGGCCCTTGAGGCCCGGAGACTGCGGTACGTATCTCCCTATCTTACGCACCAACTAGGGCCTACAGAATGGCGGTGGCACAGAGTGTACTTACGACGCGATAGCGACGCGAAAACCCCCTAAGCCCGAAATAGCCGCCAGGCATTGTTGTACGGAGGCCTCAAGACCTCAAACCCTGAGATTCAATCCCTACCTACGCAGCCGACTGACTACCAGACCCGACCAACCCCTAAACCCGAATCCCTAAACCCTATACCCTAATTAAACCCTAAACCCTAAACCCTAAGCTTGTAGAGTGGGCCCAGGTCCGGCACGCCAGGGCGGGTGTTCCACATGATCCAGCAGCGACACTTCAGCACTCGGCACGCCTCGAGCCAAGAGGGTCACCGTATCTGTTCGGAGGGCTCAAGGCCTGGGGGTCTTAGGGGTTTAGGGTGTAGGGGTTGGGGGTTTTAGGTTTTAGGGTTCAGGGTTTAGGGTTTTACGGTTTTAGGGTTTAGGGTTTAAGGGTTTAGGGTTCAGGGTTGGAGGGTTAGGGGATAGGGGTTTAATTAGGGTTTAGGATGTTAAAGTTTAGGATTTCGGGCCTTAGGTTTGTTTTTGGCTTTTGGTGCATGCCCTTCGTAGAGCCAGAGCACGCAACACCCGGAACGTTCAACCTCAGATTTTTTGGTCCGTCAGCAAGTGTGGCTTGGGTTTAGGGTTTGGGGTCTAGGTTGAGGGTTTAGGGTTTAGGGTTTAGGGTTTAGGGTTTAGGGTTTAGGGTTTAGGGCTTCGGGTTGAACGCTTTTTCGATATAGGGTTTAAGGGTTTAGGGGAAGATCTGGCAAGTCAAGTGTCCGGCATTACGGGCTTCTGCTTGGAAGTTGTTTTGGCTGCCTTGGGATCCCAGGGTTTAGGGTTTAGGGTTTAGGGTTTAGGGTTTAGGGTTTAGGGTTTAGGGTTTAGGGTTTAGGGTTGCTGCTCGGGAAGTCGTTGCTTATCTACTACTTGCTTAAGAGCCTATGTTGTCCTTCTAAGGAGGGCCATGTTTTATTTTGTTTTTTTGGGGGGGGTTCTTGAGCAATTAGTTTCCTGGATTGTTATAGAACCCGAATTCAGCCCGAAACCCTAATCCTAAGAGGGCTGTTTGGGATCCACGGAGATCTCGGGTGCAACATGTCACAGAAGATTCTACGCACGCCACGGGTAAGGCTCCGGTTGAATGAGTTTAGGGTTTAAGGTTTGGGGTTTGGAGTGTGTCGGGTTGAGGGATTGTGGAGTCAGAAGCTTCTGATGCTGGCCATTGCTCATTGTTACTGGAGGATCGTTTGATGCCACACCATTGTGAGACCCAAGCCTGTTCAAAAACCCTACACGCCGCCCTAAACCCTACACGCCCTAAACTCTAAACCCTAAACCCGAAACCCTAAACCCTAAACCCTCAACCTAAGCACAAGTATCCCTAGCAAGCCTGAGTCACCCCTAGCCAGCATGTGCACGCCCAGGGCCTCACGGAAGCACCATCCCCATCGTCCTCTGAACTTTTTGGGCCTTTGTTGGGCAATGCCGGGGCCAGACCCTAAGCCCTAAACCCTAAACTCTAAACCGCCCAAACCATACTCCCTGCATAGCTGTAATATAAGACTACCTGATAGCACTGCACCATCTTGCCCATGATGCGGATACTGGCCCGCCTGGGCGGGCGCGGACGGAAGCCGCCTGTTCAGCTGGCGTTGGTGGGGCTTTGTGGCGACTGGGCCTGGGTTCGTTGGGGTTTAGGGTTTAGGGTTTAGGGTTTAGGGTTCAGGGTTCAGGGTTCAGGGTTTAGGGTTTAGGGTTTAGGGTTTAGGCCATAGTCCATGAACCCGAAGCCCTACTTCCCTATTTACTAGTAGGGTTTCGGGTTGAGGGTTAGGGCTATTTCTTAGTGCCTAGGTACTGATCAGCCCTGCTTAAGGCTTGTCAACAACATTCTTTGAGGGCTTCAGGGGTTTAGGGCTTTAGGGCGGTTTAGGGTTTTGGGGTTTTGGAGCTTTAGGGTTTAGAGGTTTCAGGGCTATAGGGCCCTCAGGGTTAATCCCACCACACTTGCACACATCCTGTCGCCGTTTCCAATGTCACGAAAAGCCTGAAACACCAAAGCGTATAGCAAAAGCCAGACCAAATCACAAGAAGCCTGTCCTACTCACCGGGGTGAGGGGGGAGTGGTCAAACTGCTGGGCCCTTGTTTCTGGTACCCCCAAGCTACATGAGGAATGTGGGAATGCTCGTAAGAAAAGGAGGCAATATTCAACCCTGAAACCCTCCTAAACCCTAAACCCTAAACCGCCTCCCTCTCGACTCGAGATCTGGTATATGTCCTCGACTAGGTGGCATCTCACACGCCTTCTTCTCTGCCTACGCTGCCGAAGCCCCTTTGCTTAGCTCAATCAAAATGGGTTCCTCAACCCAACACCCTACAGACCCTAGACCCTATCCCTTAACCTAAGTCCTCAGCCTTAAACGGGTTTCAAGCTGAGGGCCTTAGGGCACGTGGAGTGGTTCCAGGGTTTGGGGCTATGCAGCATCCCGTTTTTCTTGGGTCGTGCTAGAAGGACATTTCCAGCATACATGTACCCTCAGCTGTCCATGCGCAGCCATGTTCAGACAGTCAGGGCCGGGGCTTTAGGGTTGAGGGTTCAGGCTTTCAGGGTGTAGGGTTTAGGGTTTAGGGTTTAGGGTTCAGGGTTCAGGGGTTCAGGGGTTCAGGGTTTAGCGAGGACAGCGCGGCTAAACAAAGGTGCAAGCCCCGAGGCTACATGTTGGGGGCCGGCCGGCCCCGGAATCTTCATAAGTCCCAGTCCTATAAACGCACGCTAACAGCCCTGCGAGTTCAAATGTCGTAAACCAACCCGTAAGGCCAACAAGCAAGCTCACACGCACACACCAAGACCACAAGGATGAGACAACGAGATATGTGGAAGAATTGTCCGTGTGCTCTATATCAGACGTCTTCCCCGTTTAGGGTTCAGGGTTTTGGGTTTATAGGGTTTATAGGGTTTATAGGGTTTATAGGGTTTATAGGGTTTATAGGGTTTATAGGGTTTATAGGGTTTATAGGGTTTGGATGTGTAGTGGCCGCGCCGCATGGCTATGCTAGGCGCCTCTGCCTGTCGTCGAGCTCTCGGCGCTCCATCGGCGCTTCGGTGGGACCGTCTGGGGGGGGGGGGGGGGGGCGATTTTAGGGTATAGGGTTTAGGGCCGTTTAGGGTTTAGGGTTTAGGGTTTAGGGTTTGAGGGTTTAGGGTTTAGGGTTTAGGGTCTAGGGTTTAGGGTTTAGGGGGTTGAAGGGCTCGAGGGCTCTGGGGGGTTCTCAGAGGGTCTGCTTATTGTATAGCTAGGGAGTTTTCGGCACAAATTCCCAGAATACATAGGGGTTTGGGAGTTGTGGGGTGCCTCCTCAGTTCGGAATAGGACTTGCATCAGTGCACCCCCTTGGCTTTGCAGGGTTTGGGGACGTGGGGTTGGGGTCGCCGCGGGTTCTTGAGAATGTTTAGGCTTTAGGGTTTAGGGTTCAGGGTTGAGGGTTTAGGGTTTTAGGGTTTAGGGTTTGAGAACTTGTTCAGTAAGTTGTGCGTGGGCCGGTGAGTCTGTGAGGGTTTGGGGTATCGGGTGCAGGGCAGAGGGAGCTTGAAGAAGCTCACCTGTGTGTGTGTGTCTAAGTCGAACAAACCACACTGTGATGCTCCCCCAGTGCGCAGAGGGTGTTTAGACGACGAACTAAACGAGCGACTTTGTGTTAGGCCTGTTGGGTTGTTCGGAGTGGACATGCTCCTGGGCCGCTTACCTCCTTTCTCTGAGAAACGACATGAGGGCCGGAAGAAAGACAACAAAACAAAGTAGCAAACAGAGCGAGATGTCCCGCAAAGCATGAATTTCTGAGACCATGCGCCGGTTAAGCCCAACAGTACCACAGAAAGGGTTTAGGGTCTAGGGCTTAGGGTTTAGGGTTTAGAGTTTAGGGTTTAGGCTGCCGGCTCCTCAATTCGAACACGAGCCAGAGTTGTTTGCTATGATGGAGCGCTGACCGTAAAGCCTTAAACATGCACATCCCCACGGCCCAAAAAGGTTGGAACTAGATTGCAAGCCGCATTCCGTGCTGCCATGATGCCTTGAAGCCGACATCGATGGGCTCCAGAATCTGTTTTTGCCGTGCCTGGGTTCCTTTCGGCTTCATTTCTCTCGTACCCCGGGATGATTCGTGTGGTCGGAGTCTCTGGAGAGGAGCTGATCTCGACACAGCTCCGGGCTTTAGCAGATCCCAAAGTGAAGGCTCTGAAACAGCAGCTCGAAAGCATCTGCGGGGCCTCTAGATTCCGGCAGCGGCTTCTACACGGCGGCAGGATCTTGGAGGATAGCGCGAACTTAACGCCACAAGGTGCTGAGATCGTAGAGTTGCAGCATGTCGTTTTACCCTTCTCCCCGACTTCGGATCAGCACGTGGAGGAACTCCTTGGGGCCATACGATGCAAGAACCTGCGCATGGTGGAGGAGATTCTGCAGCGTCCCCAAGATCCAAACCAGAATGAGCCATCTATTGAAGGTACTGAAGCTGACGCAGATGCTTTGGGCTATGAGGAACATGCCTTTGAAAAACTTACCTTCCTCGGTGCGGCATGCCGCGCAGGAGACAGTGATATTGTCCGGATACTGATCGAAGCACGCGCGAACGTGGATCGTTGCTTTGGAAACGAAGACGCCCCGCAGACGCCCCTCGGAATTGCCTGCACGCATGGATACCCTGAGATCGTCCGCGTTCTCCTTGAAGCTGGAGCTTACACATCTTTGAGAATCGATGGGCAAAGCCTGCTGGTTGTGGCCGCTGAGTATGGTCACTGCAAAATCGTGCGGCTGCTTGTGCAGGCCGGGCTTCTGCCTAAAGAGCTGCTTGAAAGGATGGCGCTCGTCAGACATTGTCCGGAGCTTGAGCAGCTACTCCCTGCTTTAGTGTGAGGCTGTGTGGGGCTCGTCTATCATGTCTTGCAAAAGGGCGCTTAAGCATGACGATGTACCCTCTTAAACCTCTTTGCTGGTTGTAGGACACCCGCTTGTGTCCTGTGGTGTAAATATTCCGCGAACAGACTTCAGAGCATGAGTGATGTTCTTGATGGACTGAACCGTGCACAACCTTCTTACACTGGTCCAAATGGCAGTAGATTCTTCATTCGGGGTAGTGCAGGACGAATCTCACCAGTCGTTTTCTTTCCTGGCACTCGAGACACCAATGACCGCAGGTCAACCGGGCTTCTCTCACTACACCCCTTAGGATCCGACCCGGGGACCCGAAACCCTAAGCCCTATAAGCCCTAAACCCCAAGCCGCAAGCCCTAAGCCCTAAGCCCTAAGCCCTAAACCCTAAACCCTATTCCCTATACCCTATACCCTACACCCGCCTTAAATCGCCTACTTGCGAGCCCTTGGTCAGGTGGGGATGCTTCCGCTCCGCGGCCCAAGGGCTTGGGGGAATTCCTACATAGAAGCTATATATGTTTTCTTTTGTACATACATATATATATATATACATACATATATATATATATATACATAAAATATGTACATACATATGTGTATGTACATGGTCTTCCTCGTACAGGTTTTCCTATTTCCCTTTGAGTTCGGTTTATGGTCTGGCTTGCATCTTAGGGTGCGGGCTCGGTGCAGGATGAGGCTTCTGGGGCTCTAGTTTCAATAGCGTGCCACCTCAGCCATGCTCAAAGAGACTGAAACTTATATGTTTGTGTATATATATATATACACATACACATGCACATACACATATACATATACATATGCATATGCATATACATATACATATCCCCCCCTCCCCCTTCCCCGCCCCACCGACTTTCCGTAGTAGTATTTTTGAGGGCTGGGAGGGGCGCCTCCAAGTCGAGGGGCGACGTGGGGACTGCCAGTATCAACGTGGTTGAGCCGAGAGGGCTTAGGGTTGAGGGTTTAGGGTTTAGGGCTTAGGGTTTAGGGTTTAGGGTTTAGGGCTTAGGGTTTAGGGTTTAGGGTTTAGGATCTGCCAAAACTCCAAGCCCCATCCGGGTTCAGGGGCTCATAGGGTGTAAGAGTCAGTTCGACGGGTTGTGGTTTAACTCGGAAAGTCAATGACCCTGCTGATGCCAAGAGCCGAGGACCTAAACTGAAGCCCCTAACTTCTCAGCCCTAAGCCTGTTCACCTCCTCACAACAACCCCGAAACCCTAAACCCTAGACCCTAGACCCTAAACCCTAAACCCAAAACCCTAAGCCCTGAACCCTAAGCCCTAAACCCTAAACCCAAGGTGTGGGACAATCGCCCGATGCTGCAGAGCGCTCCATCGGGTGGGACCATCTCGGCGCTGATTCCTTGGCTGCAGGCTGCTCCGGGTTTAGGGTTTAGGGTTTAGGGTTTAGGGTTTAGGGTTTAGGGTTTAGGGTTTAGGGTTTAGGGTTCAGGGTTCAGGGTTCAGGGTTTAGGGTTTAGGGTTCAGGGTTTGGGTTCAGGGTTCAGGATTTTTGGTCCTCAGGGACCGAAGGGTTTCAAGCTTATGAGGCTTTTTGGGGCTTCGGTTTTCGGGGGTTTAGGGCTTCATATGGGTTAGGGTTTGATTTTCAGGGTTTAGGGTGACTGCAGGTCGCTGTTTTTTGGGGTCTTAGGGCCCTAACCCCCTTAGCCCTGGCGCTTCGGAATTCGGGTTTAGGGTTTAGGGTTTAGGGTTTAGGGTTTAGGGTTTTGGGCAGTCGGCTACCCGGCTCGCCGCCTTCGGTCCCGATATCGTGGGGCCTGAGGTTGAGCGCGTCTTGGTCTTGGCTTGAGGGTTTCAAGCATACTCATATGCAACGTGTACTGTCATAATGTCGCAATGTAGTAATGTAATCATGAAATAATGCCAGAGTGTAATAATGCAATAGTAATGTAATTATGCAATCATGTAATGGTGCAATGGTGCACTAATGTCATAGCTAAATTTACGAACATGAACCCTAATTATTGGGTTTCGGGAGTAGTGGCTTCAAGGGCTTAGGGCGGCCAAGGAGTGTGCAGATCCCTGCCCTGGAGAAGCTGCTTCCTTACCTCAGGCCGGGGCCGTTGGGCTTGGGGCTTAGGGCTTAGGGGCTTGGGGCTTAGGGCTTGGGGCTTAGGGCTGAGGGCTTAGGGCTTAGGGTTTAGGGTTTAGGGTTTAGGGTTTAGGGTTTAGAGCCCTCGACCCCCAGAGCCCAAGTAAGCCTCAAGCCCTAGCCTGAAGAAGCCCTTGTACCCCTAAACTGAGCCCTGAAGCCGAAGTAAGTTCTAGGCTGTATAGGTGTTCAGAGCTTTTGGGTTTCGGATGTGGGGGAGGGTTGGGGTTTTTTAGGGACAGGTTGCATGGGTGTTCGGGAGTTGAGGAGCAAGGTTGCAGTGCTATGCGGCCAAGGCTTCTCCGCGGCCCTGAAGGTTTTTAGAGCACAAGCTCCGAATCCTCGAACATCCAAACCCCAGACCCCAGACCCCAAGCTTACATTGAGCCTCACGTCCGAAACCCAAAACCTCGATTGAATTAACCTAACCAAAGCGCGGCAAGCCCTGTTGCCACAAGAGGCGTCCGGGAGCCGAGATCTTTGACCTCGGTTTCGGAAGCGGCCCCTTGGCCTTGTAAGACGCAACCTCTTACGATGGTCCTAAACTTTTAGTCCCTTCAGAGGTTTAGGGTTTAGGGTTTAGGGTTTAGGGTGTAGGGTTTCGGGTTCAGGGTTCAGGGTTTTAGGAGTGTCACCTAAGGTCTATTTACCCTACAAACCCTAGACCCGATCTCTTGTGAGCCTCATGAACTCTGACCCCCCACCTACAAAAGGAAGGCACGTAAACGCTGAAGGCTCATCCTGAATCTCAAGCCCTTCCAGCCCGTGAACCCTAAAAGGGTTCAATGGTTCATATCCCTTCATAGAAATTCTAGCGGTATAGGGGTATGCGACCCAATCATAAGGCTCATTGGGGCCTCAAGGCTACGAAAGCCGAAATGTATTCCTCTGCGCGTTTGGGCAGAAGTGTTTTGCTCCTTGGAACCCTAAACCCTAAACCCTAAACCCTAAACCCTAAACCCTAAACCCTAAACCCTAAACCCTAAACTTGGGGCTCTGGGCTGCAGTGTGGGGACTCCACACCTCGCCGCCCAACTTTTCAGCCTCGAAACACAGCGAGCTTCTGGGAGCCCAAGACCCACTCCCCCGAAACCCTAAGCCCCCTAAACCCTAAGCCCTAAACCCTAAACGCCTAAACCCTAAACCCTAAACCCTAACCCCTAAACCCTAAACCCTAAACCCTAAACCCTAAGCCCTAAACCCTAAACCCTAAACCCTAAGCGAGGTTTACATACCAACTTTCGGAGGGGGCCGAAGCCTCCGCCTCATAGGGCTGCATGCCCAGGCGTGATGACGGCGATGATGCTGGCCGTCGCAGATGACGCTGCCACTGCTGTGGGCGTGGACTTAGCAGACAAGGTGCCCAGAACGTAGGGGTCGGAATAAATTACTAATCATGTTTTGTGAGGGTCCCTTTGTAACTTTACTAGAATAACCCACCCAAAAAAACTTTTAAAAACAAATATATTTTTTAGGCCCCTATGTAGCTGCGACAGGAAGCCCAAAGCCTGAAACCCTGACCACATCAAGGTTCAGACTCGCGAGGTTGAGGGATCATAAGTTTGAGTTTGTTTTGGCTGGGCCATTGCTCCTGCACCCAGCACCCTGAACAACCACAATGCGGGGCTTAGGTTCCAGGGCCTTGGGGCCCTAAACCCTAAACCCTAAACCCTAAACCCTAAAAATCCCTGAGGCTCTAGATCCTAAGCCCCGAGGCCCCCCAAAAAACCCCGAAAGCCGCAACCCCCTCACCAAAGCTCCTTCAGGTGCCTGTGGCAACGGAGCGCCTGCCCTGAAAGTGGGTTTAGGGTTTAGGGTTTAGGGTTTAGGGTTTAGGGTTTAGGGTTTAGGGTTTAGGGTTTAGGGTTTGGGCAATCTGGGCTTTGAGGGGCTCCAGGGATCTTGGGGGTTTTCCTGGACATTGGCATTTCGGAGGTCGACCTTTATCGTTGAGTGGGTCCGTCCGGGCTTGGGGAGGATGATGACTTCGTGAAGGCTTTGTGGTGCTTTACTGTAACTCCCTGCTAAGAGCAGCCAAGAAGGTTGCTGGTTTCTTTGCAATTTATTTCAGTTTCGTGCCCGGCTCCCTGAGATGGGTGCTACGCCACCTTCCTGACAAAACTGCAGGCACATTATGCATACACATATGTTACACATATATCCCTCCCTCGCTCTGACTCTTTGTCTCTCTTCTTGCGCTTTCTGTGTATATACGAATACACAAGATTGTTCTTGTCTTGTCTCCTCCTATGTGTCGCCCAGGCTGCTCTCGCTCCCTCTCACTAGCTAAGTCCTGCCCACTCGTGCTCTCACTCTCTCTCTCTCTCTCCCTTTTTGTTCTCACTCTCTCTCTCTCTCTCTCGTCTCTCTCGTCTCCCTCTCTCTCTCTCTCGTGTCTCGCGCGTCTCTCGTTCTCTATTTCTCCCTCTCTCTTTCTCTCTCCTCTCTCTCTCTCTCCCTCTCGCTCTGTCGCTTGTAGTCCCTCTCCAGGTTCTCTGGAACGTCATCCTTTCCTCAGACCAGCATGAGTTGATTGCGTAGGGAAGTCTGCAGGAGATCCGACCCCACACGTTACCGCAGCTTTACGCCTGTAGGGATCAGGAACACCCTGAACCCTAAACCCCCAGACCTGTCTAAGCCCTAAATCCATATGGGGGTTCCCACAAATAGGGGTACCCTTTCTGGGGGTCCCTTTAAGGGGATTCTCTTCTATTTGGGGTATAAAATAAGGGGTACCCCTACCTTGGGGAAAATACCCATATCAACCCCCTTAAGCCCCGACGCCTGAAAGGAATATGGAGTCAAGCGATCCGAGCTGCCCCTTCTCCCCTTTTGACAAGCAGCGTTTCAAGCTAGTGGCCTGGCGTGCAGCAGGGAGGGGGGGGGGGGGTTGGGATATCCAGATATGCACTTTCTGTTCCATGAGTAGATTTAGGCTGCGAGGGCGGCAGAAGCTCCTAAAAAAAGACCCTACCAGTAAGGCACAGCATCAGACCAAGACCCTCAACCCTAACTCGGCCCTGCAAGATAGACTTGACCTTGTGGTCTTGATGTTTCGGAGTTGACGGCAGGACCGGCTGAGGTTCACTCAGGGCCAAGGGGATTTCCGTGTTTTTTTTTTTGGCCGTCTGCTCCTGAAAGCTCCATGACCCCAGACACTACCTGGCCAGAAGCCGGAGTTGTTACCTATGTTGTGTATGGAAACCCTTAGCCGTAAATAAAATCTAACCCCTAAGACGTATAAAACCCTAAACCTTGAGCAGAAAAGTTGGCCCAATTCGCGGCGCCCACGTCTGCCAGGCTGGCGGGGACGCCTTCGCCTACCTGTCGCAGTGGACCCTCAGCAATGAAAGTGGAGCGTTGTTTACATATGGGTGCAGAAAAGAAAGCTTATGAGGAGTTTGCGGGGGAGCTTAACTATCCCAAAATGTCGCTGTGGGGAAATGCGGGGTTGGGGGGGGGGGGGGGGGGGGCGGGATGGCGACCCTTTGCATCTCTCCTTCAAGACAAACCCTCCAGTCGACTTGAAGCCCCCATACCCTAAGCATCCCCTAGCGACCCCAAGGTACCCGACACCCTAAACCCTAAACCCTAAACCCTAAACCCTAAACCCTAAACCCTAAACCCTAAACCCAGTCTAACTCCTTTCTAAACCCTGACGTCACATTCAGCAGCCAGTAGGTTGGCCCTTGGGGACTTCGGGGCTTTGGGGGGGTGGGGGTGGATCATAGACCCCAAGCCCTAAGGGTTTAGGGTTTTAGGGTTTAGGGTTTCTTAAAACCTGAATCTTGGGATGTTCCCCCGTTATGCCTTTATACTAACCAGTCCTTAATACGGACTGTACTAGGAAGGGTACGATGATCCCGATTAAGGACCAGTTAGTATAAGGGGGAACATCCCAACTTGAATCCTCAACCCCAAGCCCTAAACCCTAAACCCTAAACCCTCAACCTCCAGGGCTTCGCCCTAGTAGGCGTTGGATTTGCGCTGGGCTGCTGGGAGTCGTTTTTTCGGTGCCAGCCCAGGTCTCCAACACCTTTCAGCCAACCTCAAACCCATGCACAATCTCATGGCTTAGGTTTTTTTTGGGGTTTAGGGTTAAGTAGGGGTTAATTAGGGTTTAGGGTTTAGGTTTAGGGTTTAGGTGTGATTGAGAGCAGAGACAGCAGGAACAAAGATGGCAAACGATTCGATGTCGTGGCCTGGCGTGTGCACTGTGATTTCCTTGTTCGCCTAGGTAGATATTAGTGTCACTTCTCTAAGTATGGTCCCTTTTGCGGGTCCTTACCAAAAGGCGGCCCTTCTTGTTTAGGGTACCCGAAAAGGGACCCTAGTTTAGCAAACTGACAGTATAGGTGTGTTGAAATGCTGATTGCTGGATTGAGAGAGTTTGGGTTCAGGGCTCGAGGTTCAGGTCTTTTTTAAACATCGCAACGAATAATATGAGCATCAGGTTCAAAAGAAGGGCTTCAGAGAAGCTATGGGAGTGCGAGCAACGCGTACCTTTTGCAGTTTTCGTGCCCTTCACCATAGCTGGACGCAGCTTCGCATGAGTAGTGTTGTTGGCAGAATGGCCCATGATGCAAAAGTTGCGTTTTTTTAAGTTGACAGGGCGAGTCTTCCTCTCTTCCCCTCTTCTGGGCTAGTCGGGCTTTGTGGGTTAGATGGTTGAGAGCTTCTCACAATTGTGCTTGATGCAGTCCTCAGCACCCTGACATTGAAGCTGAAGCAGAACCACTCCCAAATATGTCCCATTCTTCACGACACGGCTTAATTAGGTCTAAAGGAACTTACTCGAAATCTGGTGTTGACTTTTGGGACCCTAAACCCCAAACCCCAAACCCCAAACCCTAAAGCCTAAACCCTAAACCCTAAGCGCGTCGCTAGACTTTAGAGGTTGCAGGGTCTCGAGGAGAGAGTCAGGTTTACTCTGGCTGCTCGATGGATCCGCGCACTGAGCAGCTGAAGCTGTTGAGCCTCGCCCGGGGTTTAGGGTTTAGGGTGTTTAGGGTTTAGGGTGTTTAGGGTTTGGGGTTTAGGGTTTAGGGTATTTAGGGTTTAGGGTTTCATTAGGGTTTGGAGGTTGGGATGTTCCCACTTTTCACGAACAGCTTAGCCTGGTTATAGGGTTCAGGGGGTTTAGGGTTTAGGGTTTAGGGTTTGAGTAGGGTCTGGAGGTTGGAATGTTCCCCCTTGTACTAGCAGTCCTCAATAGGGAGTATAGTACCCCCTATCATAATCCCTACTAAGTACTGTTAGTATAAGGTGGAACATCCCAATCTGGAGGGTTCATAATTGGGAGATACTGGGAGATACCGCGAGGATGATCGCTATTTCACAAAGTGGATTGGATGAATGTTTTCGCGGAATGCCTGCACATGCGGTTTAGGGCCCCGGGGCCATAGTGATTGCAAGGACCCTAAACACGCAACCCCAAACCCTAAACCTAAATCCCACACCCTACATTCTAAGCTGGTTCACTCAGCGCATGCCGGTCCGTTTGGATAGAGTCAGGTGGCCCACTGCTTGAAGCCTTCAGGGATTCCGATATTCTAGGGGTCCCGAAACCCCAAACCCTCAACCCCAAGCCCTAAACCGTAAACCCTGCTTGAAAGATTTGAGCTGAAGGCTATCCTCGAAGGCCCAAAGCCACAGACCGAAACAAGCAGGCCCCTGAAGTGGCCCGCGTAAAGATGCCCCCAAAATAAGCCTCAAGCCCCCGACCCTGGACCCTGAACCTGCTTCTTCTCTTGTCAGGCTCTATAAACCCCCTAAGCCCGAAACCCGAAACCCTAAACCCAAAACCCGACGACTCATGATCAGCCTTAAACTCACCCGGGTGTTCGGGGCCCCTAAACCCAAAACCCTAAACCCTAAACCCTAAAGCCTACGACTCAGCCTTCAGCTCGCCAGTCTTGGTGCCTTGAAGCCTGGCGGCGCAGCCGTCTTCAACTTGGGCAATCCGGGTCGGCAAGGCCCGGCCCGATGGGTATAGGATTTCGAGGGTTTAGGGTGTAGGGTTTAGGGCTTAAGGGTTTCGGGTTTAGGGTTTAGGCAGGGGATTCCGTGAACCGTCAAATCCTGAACCCAACTTCTGGATGGATTTAGGGGTTTAAGGCTCCGGCTTGTGCTGTGGCGCTTGGACTGTTTTCAATATTCATTCTATTGGCTTGGGGGGGGGTCTTGCTGCATGATGCCCCTCAGTTTTACTTTACCAACCGGAGACCTCAAATCATCCCCCTCCCCCAAACATCTTCCCTGTAAGCCCCTCGCCAAGAGGCTTTACTTACTGAGCCACTTTTGTTGTTTTCGGGGGAAGAGAGAAGTTCAAGCTTGTGTTTACACTTCCCCTTGTTATTGCAGGAGCAATGGTGCTTAAGTCGGGAATTAGGGCATAGACCAGCCAGTGTCTGAATCATGGGCTTCCCTACTACCCGCCCTCTATACTCCCCCCCCTAGGTTCCCCCCCTGAAATAACCTTGATTGGGTTTAATTGGCCCTGAGTACCCTTTATTCTGGGGGAACCAAGGGGGGGTAGTATAGAGGGGGGTAGTGGGGGAACCCCTGACTGAAGGGTGCTGGTCGATCTACGTCATATGGCATTTAGATTTGGGTTGTCAATGCGCGAAGTAAGTCGGGCTTTTCAGATTCTGCGAAGCTGAGAGTTTGTTCGATCCACGAGGCTCTGAGGTTTAGGGCAGGGACAGTGGGGCTGAGGGGAGGAGGGAGGGGGGTCCCTCCGCTACACAGCTGTCGCGGCGCAGGGTCATGCAACCTCTTGAAACCAGGGTCGGTAGTGGAGTTGGGTCGGGAATGCTGGAAGCCCGTCAGGAGTTCTGCTTGCGGCCTGAACTCTAACCCCCAAAAGCCCTAAGCCACTAAACGCCATACCGTAGCGATCCCGTTGAAGATGCAGGTCCCGAACCCTAAACCCAAAACCCTAAACCCTAAACCCTAAACCGTGAAGGAATGTACTTCGTCGCAGATGGTGGCAAAGTTTGCCATCTACTGATGAGAGTGCGCCTCGGCCCTCGTTTGCGGTATGCAGCGCACCCCCAAAAGACCCCCTGAGGTTTGGGGTTTAGGGTTTAGGGTGTAGGGTTGAGGGTTTGCACACCCTGCCCAGACCCTGAGTTGGAGTTCCTTTTCTTGCGGCGGGTCGATGGGGGGGGGATACTTTTGGTTAGTGTAAGAAAGCAAGCCAGACGCCTCTTGAACAGGAGCTACAAGTATATAAGGGTGCGCGTAGGCTCTCTCGATCCGATCCCGTCAAGCTCATATAAACTTCGTAGACCCTTTAGACAGGGTTTTCACGCCAATCCAAAAACACAACGAGACAATGTTATTCTCCTGTTATACAGACATAATTTTACAGTGCCACAATCATAAACACGCAGCGTTCTGATCTTGATGGTGACGGCAGGCAGCGCAAGCTCCCTGAACCCTAAAACCCTCAAGCGTTGTAGGGCTATCGTTTAGGGGGTTTGGGGTTTTAGGGTTTAGGATTTAGGGTTTAGGGTTTAGGGTTCACACCGAGAGCCTCCTTTGAGGAACTTTATGATGGCCGAGAGCACGGTGACACCCCCGATGCCAACCCAGGAGATCCCACTGGACCCGGAGAAGCTACCCTCCTGCACCGTATTTATAGTCTTAAATCGGTGGTTATGCTTTTATATATATATATGTGTATATATATATATGTATATGTCTTGATATATGACACAATTCTGCATGTTTATATGTGTTTTTGAAATCTATATTTAGCTATGTATGCAAAATCCGGGCTTCAGGGGTTTGGGGTTTAGCGTAGTTTGAGGTCTGGGGTGCCGGAGAGCAGCAGAAGAGCTCATGCTCACACAGAGCCGAAAGCGTGGTCTTCGGGTAGTTGCATGCGATCCCTCAATTCGGGAACCGTATACACCCGTTTTTTCCCTGTAAACCCCGGGGGCCCATACTTCAGAACCGTTCAATAAGGTCAAGGGGCCACCGCAACCCAAATTACAACACCCTTCTGTCGAACGAATATAGCGCGAAAATGGGGGGGGGGGGGGTGCCCACCATATTCTCGTAAGTACTAGAGCCGTTAATAGGAACCTTATTCTAGGAACCCCTTATGGAAAGCTGAGCACTTGCGTAACTACCAGCGTCTACCCAACCTTGGCCCAAGCATCCCCAGCTTCTCCACCCCAAGCCACCCTGCTCCGAACAATAGCACAATGAAGCCGGGATTCCCGTGAGCCACCCCCCAAAACCCTAGTGGCCTACATGCCCTCGAGCCCTGTAGCTCTTTACCCCAAGCCCTCCCCCAGGCTGGGTGTATGGATTCGCAAGAATGTCTTTGGCTCGCCGCCTCCAGAGCTCTGAGAAGCTCCAAAACTCCACAGACATAGCAGGGCCTGCGGGGTTAGGGAGGAATTTTCCCCAAACTAAAGGTTTTCCGGCATGTTTCGGGATGTAGGCATTTAGGGGAGTATGGGATCCTTTGAGGCTGTAGCCCTATGGTTTCTGATCCATCTGTACAACCCCCGCCCCCCCCCCCCCCCCCCCCCTACCAGATTCCTTCTGCAACGCCTGCTCAAGAGGATCCCAGAGGGTCCTCCCCGCGGCACGAGCTATCGAGTTTGGGTTTAGGGTATAGGGTTTAGGGTTTAGGGTTTACGGTTTAGGGTTTAGGGTTTAGGGTTTCGGGTTTAGGGTTTAGGGTTTAGGGTTTAGGGCTTAGGGTTTAATTAGGGTTTAGGGTTTATAGGGTATAGGGTTTAGGGTTTAGGGTTTAGGGTTTAGGTGAAGCAATGCCTAAACACTAAACCCGTGCTCTTGCATCGGGCTTCTCACCAGCCACTTGGCTCAACCTAGCATGACGAACCGACCCTCATAGCCCTTAAGCCGCCAACCCTACCCAACTGAACCAACAAGCCCCTGCCTCCAAGCCCTGGGTGGTTTAGGGCTTAGAGGGCTTATAGGGCTTAGGGTTTAGGGTTTGGGGTTTCGGGAGGGGCTTAAGGTACTTAACTCTCCTAACAGAATCAGCTCCGTTCCGCAGTCTCTGGCTCTGGGCGGTTACAGATCTTGCCCTGCCTCAAGAGTGCCCCCAGCTTGCGTCCGCGGTATGGATTTTGAGGCTGTGAGATTGGCTTGGTTGCTTCGGAACTTGTTTTGAAGGAACAGGGTTCAGGTTTGGGGGGTTTAGGGCTTAGGGGTTTAAGGGCGTCAGGGTTTGGGCGCCCTGCAGGCGGGCACCCATGACGGATTTTTTCACCTTAGCGGCCCAACCTCACCCCCACTGATTTGAAAGCTCCCAGAACAGCCCCGAATATGGAATGTCCAGCCCAATTTTCTTTGCACATTGTTTTGAGAATCACCTTCTGTAAGAAGCTGGTCCGTGGACATTGGTCTCCTACCGTACCCCCAAACCCAAACCTAATTGTTGTAGGCTGCCTCGCGAACAGATGCGGAGTATTAATCTCAGAACCTACACAAAGCTGGTTTTGGGGTTCCTGAGGAGGTTTAGGGTTGAGGGTTTAGGGTCTAGGGTCTAGGGTCTAGGGTTTACGGCTTTTCGGACCCACAGTGGTCCCTGTTTCCTGCAATTAGGTTCCCTGATAAGCTCCTTTTGAAACCAAGAAGCATACCTTTCTTTCATCCCTAGGTTGCTGTTGAGTCTAGGCTGCTTAGGTCTCCTAAGGAAGTGGTTTAACGGCTTAGGGACCCTCTACCTGGGGGGTTCATGGTACTTAGTAACTCAATTTTTAACTGCACTTGTAACCCAAGTATAACCCTCTTGGGGTACTTAAGGGGCTTCTAGACGGGGTATAAGCCCATTAGGGTACCTAAGGGGCTTCTAAGTGGGTTAGAACTACACTTCTAATTCGGTTGCCAAGAACCCCAAACCCCAAACCCCAAACCCCAAACCCCAAACCCCAAACCCCAAACCCCAAACCGAAACCCTAAACCCTAAACCCTAAACCCTAAACCTCCAAGTAGGCTCTGGATGGCCACAGCGACGCGACACGCGACATTGGGAGAGCGGCTGCCCAGTTGGGACTCCCAGCTTTCTGCAACCGTACACCCGAAACCCTAAACCCTAAATCCTAAACCCTAAACCCTAGGGTTTAGGGTTTAGGGTTTAGGGTTTAGGGTGTAGGGTTTAGGGTTTAGGGTAAATGAGGATCCCCAAGCCTACTGATTATACAGTAGGAATCGGACCGATTTTGGAGCAAAGCTTGCGAGGTCTTTCAACTGGAAGTTCAAGCAAACCAAGATGCCTACCTGAGGGTTGTTTGTGCCAATGTCAGGCCCGTCCTACTACACCCACCAAAAACCCAAAAGCCCTGTAAACCACAGGGTTTAGGGTTTGGGGTTTAGGGTTTAGGGTTTAGGGCTTCTCTTACTCTCTGAAATCGAAGCGTCCAGGGTTTGCGTGTCTGATGGGTCCAATACTTGGAGGTTCATGGTACTTATAGTAGCACAATTCTAGCTGCACTTATATACAACCCAATTGTAACCCTATGAGGGTACTTAAGGGGCTTCGGTTTTTTTGGATGGCCGCTATAGAGGATCCTATAGACATGACTGCCGCGTGCCGAGGTATTTCGGGGTTTAAGGTTTAGGGTTTAGGGTTCAGGGTTTAGGGTGCTGGTCTGGCATGCAGCCGAAGGATCAAAGAGAGAAATAGAGAGCCTGCTGTAGGCCGTAGGGCTTGTCTTGCAGGGTCGCTATGCATCTCTCTCCGGCAGTTCCAGCCGCAGCGACGACCGCTTCCTTCTGTGCCTGGGTCTGTCAGCAACCCTTTTTCTGTTTTCGGCTACTTTCATGAAGAGGTGTTTCTCCAATAGGCCAATAGAAGGATAAGCCCACAGGTGAGCCATGGGCATCCGCACCCTCCATGCTCATGCAGGAGGCCGACATCTCAGGCCATACGAGGACCCCGGTGCCAGAAGCAGTCTACCGTATCCCGCATGGCGGCTCAAGCGCCTCCGGGCGCTTCCGGCCTCCACCTGGCTTGGAGGAGGTTGGGGCTTCCGGCTCCAGTCAACTCGCCCAAGCGCGCCCGGCGGATACGCCTGTCGTGCCGTTCTGGTGCAGCAAGGGAAGCTTCGGGCATCCGCAATTGTGTGGCCGGCCTTGCGTGCACGTCGCCAAAGGTGGCGTGTGCCCATCGGGGTTGGCGTGCACCTACTGCCACTTCCTTCCACACGCTGCAGTTGTCAAGCCAGGTGGCTCGATGCGGCGAACTCTCCTAGCGGCCACGGATCAAGAGCTTCTTGCGACCTTCCTCCCGTTCATTCGCAAAAAGGCAGGCAAAGAAGGACTCCTCCCCCTCGCGAACGACCTTATCAACCTCCTCGAAGCCGAAATGCACGAACCACCCCCCACAAGCATCTCGTTGGTGAGCTTCCGGCCGATGAAGATGACTTTCATGCGCCTCGGTTTTCCCGAAGTCAACCGCAGCACATCGATAGAATCATTCTTTGCCTCCAGCTGCAGTCGCAAGCGCTACCGTAATCCTAACACACAAGAGCAAGGGCAAAAAAGAAAGGTGACTTTGTTTGTATTGATTCTTCTGTTCAAACCTACAGTGACAAGCTTTCTCTGGTATCATGGTCGCCAATAGACCTTTTCTCCATGAAAGGCATCTCGTGGCCAGCAGCATGCGACGCCTGCCCCTCCACATCCAGGTGGAGGTGCAGCGTCTCAAGGCGAATTTGCCGCCACCGGCCCTCACGCCCCTGAGCTTCAGGGTAGGATTTGGGATTTAGGGTTTAGGGTGTAGGGTTGAGGGTGTGGAGCTTAGGGTTTAGGGTTTAGGGGTCTAGAGTCTAGAGCGTTGGGAGCTAGAAGGGTTCAGGTCCAGCTTCCCCCTCCCTTGCCAGACATGAATAGTCTGCAGGTGCTCATCAAGGAGCCTAAGCCTCCAAATTAAACTCAGCGACCCCCGACCCCCCTGCCATTCCTTTGACTCTCGGATCCAACCCCGAACATCATGAAACTGAATACGTTTTTAGAAGTGGACTGTTGCCTTGAGTTCAGGCCTCAACCCTAAAGAGAATAGGTTTGGGTGGCGTTGCCGCCTCGGACGGCGTGGGGTGGGAGAAAAGTGTTAGATGGCCCTCCACAATCGGGCCAAAGCTGCTCTTCGCACCTCACGAAGCTTTCGAGCTTGTTCCGAAACCTAGCCTTCACAGCACCTACGCCCTGTTACAACAAACCCTAAACCCTGAACCCTAAATCCTAACAAAAGAACTACACCCAAGATCATCAATGAGGGGTCACTCCAATAGACGGGTCCTGTGGCCGATGGGCCCACTGCTGCAATGCTAAGGCCGGGTTCTTGGGGAATGTCTCTCGTGCTGTAGATGACTTGAGCCACTGGGCACGCGCTGTGATGTCTTGGCAGGCCGGTAGGCCCATTCAGCCTTATACGAGGGGTCCAGGGTTGTAAAAGTTTGGGGCCGAGAGCGTGTTGCTCCGAGCTCTGGACTTAGCGAACTCTGGGAACCCTCACAGTATCAACCATATTTGGGGGGTCGTCATGTCGGGAAGTTCTCACAGTTCATGTTTGGGATTCTAGGGCCATTTGCAGTCCCGGGAGGTAAAGCAGTTGCAACAGTAGCAACACGTTGGCTGCTAGGGGGGCTGCGGGCAGGCAAGCTTGCGGCTATTTTGGGGTTTAGGCTGAAAAAGGCTTAATTAGGGATAGGGAGCATTGCGGGGGGGGGGGGAGGGAAGCGATTAGTTTAGAGTTGCGTTCAGAGTCGCAGGTCATACTGCCCGCGGCCAAAGCGAATAGCTGAAAGATACAGCTTCTGTCTCACCACTCCGTCTAGAGATGTGTGTTGGGTCTTTCTGCCCAGCGCCTGCGTCTTCCGTGCTACTTTGGTGTAGAAGAGCGCCGTTGGAGCGATGTGCTCTCGGCACGATTGATCGTGCCAGCTTGACGCACCGTGGTGTGAGGGCTTTTCCTTGAAGCCGGAGCGAATACCACACTGGCTTCCAAGGGTCAGGTGGTGGATTATGTTGGTGCCTCCAAGCCTTATATTCCATGTCGTAAGATGATGTAGGTTAAGCGAGTCGACAGACTATCCCGCACGGGCACGCCCGTGCTTCTTGCTTGCTGAACACTGCAACCGCTGTGCAGGCGGACAGTGTTTGCCCAGTGGCGAGCGGCACTCATGCAAGACTTTATGAGCGTGCAGCTCAGCAGCTTGAGTAGCAGAGCCACGCGTCTGTAGGCTGTGCATTCCATGAGCCACACTTCTGTAGTCGTGGAGGACAGCATGCTTCACTTTGTCAACATATTTCAGAATTCGGTCTTGTTGCTGGCGACCTTCGCGAATGCGCGGCAAGCAGCCCTGAGTTCAAGCTAGATGCAGGTTCGTACGAACACGTTGACACTGACCGATCGTCTCGCTGGATGCTTCAAGCTCTTTAGCCATGCCTGCTTAAAGGAGATGGCATACATAGTTAGACATGCACTTGCTCATGTCATGGTTGCAGCAAAGCCTGTTTATGCATTTTTAGGGTGAAGGCATTATGAGGTCTAGTAAAGTTTAATTAACGATACACATGCGTAGCAATGCTGGTCGGTGTCCGTGGCGGGATTGCAACCCCAAGCTCCAAGTTTGTCTCTTGCAAGTTGGCCAGACGAGAGGTCAGTGTCCAATTCGGCTTCTGCTTGCCATCGAGCACTTTGAGTTTTGCCAGATGGCGTCCTGGAACCGCTGCTTTTTTGCACGGCCGGGCAAATGTCCTCAGACGCCACATCTACTTTGTCAGAATACCAGCGGAAAGAGTTGGGGGTTTCCGAAAATAGGGGTACCCTTTTGGGGATTCCTATAATGAGAATTGCACTACTTTGGGGTATATTAAGGGTACCGCTACTTGGTGAAATGCCCAGCTGTCCCACCACGAAGTCCCATCAGCGCCTTGGTATTTTGCAGGATTTGGGGGTTTTGCGGCTTCAAAACAGTGTTTTGTTGAAGCTGGGGCTTCTTTCAGCCCTAAGACCTAAACCCTAAGCCCTGAACCCTGAACCGCGAACCCTAAGCCCCAAACCCTAAACCCTGAACCCTAAACCCTAAACCCTAAACCCTAAACCCTAAACCCTAAACCCTAAATGAGGGTCTCAGAGTCGCCAAGTACCAATCCACGCTCAGGTTATCCTCGACACCGCTCGCTCGAGCCACCTCCTGGCCCAATTCCCAAGCTGGGTTCAGGGTTCAGGGTTGAGGGTTGAGGGTTCAGGGTTTAGGGTTTAGGGTTTAGGGTTGAGGGTTGAGGGTTGAGGGTTTAGGGTTCAGGGTTCAGGGTTGAGGGTTGAGGGTTCAGGGTTCAGGGTTTAGGGTTTAGGGTTTAGGGTAGGCTAGGAGGTTTAGGGTTTAGGGTTTAGGGTTTAGGGTTTCGGGTTTTGGGTTTCGGGTTGAGGGTTCAGGGTTTAGGGTTTAGGGGTTCAGGGTTTTGGGTTTAGGATTGAGGGTTTGGGGTTTAGGGGTTCAGGGTTTAGGTTTTCGGCTTCAGGGTTCAGGGTTTAGCGTCTAGGGTTGAGGGTACAGGGTTCATGGTTTAGCGTTTTGGGCTCTGGGTTCAGGGTTTAGGATTTCTAGGTGGGTGCTTTAGGTTATTCGCGTTTCGGGCTGAGGAATATTTAGGTGTATTTGGAGTTTACGACGATGCGGAACCCCAATATACACCGCCATATAGTAGGATCCCCTTAAAAACAGGACCCCAACCCTAAACCCTAAACCCTAAACCCTAAACCCTAAACCCTAAACCCTAAACCCTAAACCCTAAACCCTAAACCCCTGTTATTGTATAAACCACCATTTGGAGTTTGCGGGGTTGAGGTTGCGGGCTTCTTTACAGTTCGTGGAGCTGCCAGTCCACACGCACCAGCCTGAGGGTTTAGGGTTTAGGGGTTAGGGTTTAGGGTTTAGGGTTTAGGGTTTAGGGTTTAGGGCTAGGGTTTAGGGTTTCGCCAGGAAGTCCGGACGTCTCTACCCATAGCTCAGAGCATTCAGAGGCACCTGGAGGGCCTGGCGACCTCCACACTTCAGCTGTTCGGTGGCATGGGATAAACCTTAATCCCAACACAAACGCTAAAGCCCAATAAACCCAGTAAGCCTTATAAACCCCTGTTCCCGAGACAAACCCTAAAACCCAGGAAAGCCATAACATGAACCCTATGACGTACAAAACCTCATAAAACACTATGAAAACCCCATAAAACCCTTTAAAACCCGATGAAATGAAACCCCTATAAACGCTAGAAAGCCCCATAAACCTAAAACCCCGAACTGGGTTTTAGGGTGTAGGGTGCAGGCATGGACAAGAGACTGGCGAGGCAACGGCATCGGACATCGCGCAGCCAGGCGGGGTAGTTGCATATTCCAGACTTCAGGGGCCTGTAAAGACTAGCAAGCCTCTAGACCCCTACAAACCCTGCAAATCCTGTAAACCCTGCACACCAAACCTTATCAACCCTATAAACCCTATAAGCCCTATAAGCCCTATACACCCTATAAACGCTATATAAACCAGCCCTTGGGGGTCAAATTTTGGGGTCACGCCTTCGGTCAATCCTGAAACCTGATCCACCATCAACCCCAAAGCTTCTTTTGCTGAGCTTGTGCAACCTGCCCCCCCCCCCGTGTGCAGCTTAAATAGGGTTTATTTGGAAGCTGGCACTCGTGTTCACAAGAGGAAAAAAGGCCCCAAAACGTATACTTATTTACAAGAGCCAACTTCCAAATAGACCCTATTTTAGGTCCTAGGGGGGGTCCCAGGCCTGAATTAAATATGAAGGCCCCGATTTAAATATGAATATTTAATTCTGGAGCTTCATATTTAAATTATTTAATTCGGGCCCGGGAATTAAATAATTTAAATAATTTAAATAATTTAAATAATTTAAATCCTGGAGGGGGGGGGGCGGGCCTCCTCCCGCAGGAGGAATTAAATAATTTAAATATGAAGGCCCCGAATTAAATATTAATATTTAATTCGGAGCCTTCATATTTAAATTATTTAATTCTTCCTGCGGGAGGAGGCCCGCCCCCCCTCCCTCCAGGATTTAAAATATTTAAATTATTTAAATTATTTAAATTATTTAAATTATTTAATTCCCGGGCCCGATTTAAATAATTTAAATATGAAGGCCACGATTTAAATATGAATATTTAATTCGGGAGCTTCATATTTAAATTATTTAATTCGGGCCCGGGAAATTTAAAATAATTTAAATCCTGGAGTGGGGGGGGCGGGCCTCCTCCCGCAGGAAGAATTAAATAATTTAAATATGAAGGCCCCGAATTAAATATTAATATTTAATTCGGGGCCTTCATATTTAAATTTTTTAATTCCTCCTGCGGGAGGAGGCCCGGCCCCCCCCCCTCCAGGATTTAAAATATTTAAATTTTTAAATTATTGTAAATTTAAATTATTTAAATTATTTAAACTATTTAATTCCCGGGCCCGATTTAAATAATTTAAATATGAAGGCCACGATTTAAATATGAATATTTAATTCGGGAGCTTCATATTTAAATTATTTAAATCGGGCCCGGGAATTAAATAATTTAAAAAATTTAAATAATTTTTAAATAATTAAAATAATTTAAATAATTTAAATCCTGGAGGGGGGGGGGCCGGGCCTCCTCCCGCAGGAGGAATTAAATAATTTAAATATGAAGGCCCCGAATTAAATATTCATATTTAATTCGGGGCCTTCATATTTAAATTATTTAATTCTTCCTGCGGGAGGAGGCCCGCCCCCCCCCCTCCAGGATTTAAATTATTTAAATTATTTAAATTATTTAAATTATTTAAATTATTTAAATTATTTAAATTATTTAAATTATTTAATTCCCGGGCCCGATTTAAATATCTTAAATATGAAGCTCCCGAATTAAATGTTCATATTTAAATCGTGGCCTTCATATTTAAATTATTTAAATCGGGCCCGGGAATTAAATAATTTAAATAATTTAAATAATTTAAATAATTTAAATAATTTAAATAATTTAAATCCGGGAGGGGGGGGGTTCCGGGCCTCCTTTTGCAGGAGGAATTAAATAATTTAAATATGAAGGCCCCGAATTAAATATTCATATTTAAATCGAGGCCTTCATATTTAAATTATTTAATTCCTCCTGGGGGAGGAGGCCCCCCCTCCCCTCCAGGATTTAAAGTATTTAAATTATTTAATTCCCGGGCCCGATTTAAATAATTTAAATATGAAGGCCACGGTTTAAATATGAATTATTGATTCGGGAGCTCATATTTAAATTATTTAAATCGGGCCCGGGAATTAAATAATTTAAATGATTTAAATAATTTAAATAATTTAAATAATTTAAAT